AAACATGAGTATCCAGATTCAAATATCACTCAAAAGTCTAAACATCCAGCAAAGAAAATGACACACCACGGAAAAAATAACACAGAAAGATGTTACAACAAGATCTGGGAGACGTGTGCATCGGCCAAAACATTATAAAACATACTTGAGATATTAAATTATCGTTTCCTACATATCATTAGAAAAAAAAATTCTAATAATCTAGAGGGGGCCTTCATCGTGTTCACTAAAATATTCACTAAAATATTTTATCCTGATTTAGGTAGATACTGCCAAAATATCGTGCGAACGTAGTAGAAGACATACCACGCGGCTTTTAAGGCCAATTAGGAAGAAATAAATCATATAATTATGGAGCCGATGTTCTTACGAAAAAGTGTATAAAACTCACGAAGGTGGCAACTATTTTATAAATGTCCAACAGTGTATTGAAAAGATGAATAGTAAGCAGTCTTATTTACTTTTAAATCAGAATGTAAATAGTGATGCTTTTGATGTTAAGCCAGGTCACCAATGTACATCTTATGATTATAAACTGTGTGAGGAAGGTTCAGAAATATTTGACAATCTGGAAATGTTAGAACCATCTCTTTCTGATGAAATAAAAATCGTTCTTATACATAACTGGATATATTATTTAGTTCGAATGTGGCTAAGAAACCATAACACAGCTGATGGCACTGGGCATTTACTCTGTCTACCCACTAAAACGAGTTGTGACACAAAGTCAGTTTTTAAGGTGGGAACCCGAGCGCGTACAAACGGGCTAGGATCAAAAATTGCCCGAGCCCCCGGCAACCGTCATTTGCGCTGGCCTCAGTATAATTTTCCTCAGTTGCGACGGAGCCGCCCCTGACAAAGACAGAGACGCAACAGCTGATGACACTAGAGTAAAAAAAATTATATTTCTGAACAGAAATATGATGAAAACATAATTTGAATCTGGAAATATCTTAATAAATAAATGTTTTTTATTCAATTATCAAAATAGTTTAATTCTTTTTTGTTTCCATTTTCAGATTGAAAAGTAAATAAGTAGAATAGTTTCCTAAGGATTAACACCTGCATTTATAGAATCAGTTCCTGTAAATTTGGGATAGCATTATTGTGTTTATATATATATATATATATATATATATATATATATATATATATATATATATATATATATATATAGTGATTGCCACTTCTTGGCAGAAAAGGTCATATCTTCAATTTTAGATTGAGCGATAGTGAGTACGGAAGTAATTAAAAAGACTACTTCACTTCTGCAGGTTTTCCTGCATACATAATTAATTAGAAGATATACATATACAAGGTGGGTGCTGAGTAGTTCTAGATTCGAACATGACGGTATTCGCCTCCCTAAATTCTGAAGTTTGGTTATTTGGCAAACTTTGGGGAAGTATACCAGTCCAAGAACTTTTCGACACCTCTTCGTATATAGAGGTTTTTTTAAAAAATTTTTCTTGAAGTTCTGTTGAATTTGACCTACTTTAATTCTTACGGTGTCGTCACCATAACGATTATAGCTCTAACTAAAGATAGGCAAATAATTTAACAGGCTGAAATGGTATTTTAATGCAGAAGCAGCGTACAAAGTCGAGGAGTTCATTCACTGTTTATCAATTTTTAGACCTATATATCTGTCTTATGTCTGGTGTCTGGAATGTTTGTCACTAATAATATTCGAGTTTACATAAAAGCCAATTTTCTTAAAGGTGAACTTACATTCAGACACGGAATATTGGTGCAACATATGAAAATTAGCATTTTAAATCTTCAGTCCCATCTCATATATAAATCATTATCTATCTATCTATCTATCTATGTTCATATCGTACTCTTTCGAGCAATGTCTTGCGTCAAGTATTAATCGAATGTAATAGTTCAAGCATTTCTGAAACGAAGTAATAGAAAAGAGAAACTGGAAAACGAATAATTCTTGCAATTTCTTCATTACAATATTTGCCAATATCTTTTTACACACACTATGTCTCAATTTCGTCTGTTTCTCTTTTCCGCTTTCGTCTGACATTATACTCCAGTTTCTAGAAAGTAAAGCAATTTTAACAGAAATTCGTGAACAAAAGTTACATTAGGAGTCCATCCGTCGTCATCCAACACATCCCAAATTATTGCGGTCAGGTGGAGTGGGTAAAGGGAAAGAATACAAGCGTCCAATTGTATTCTCTTTTTTTTTTCCCCTATTTTTTTAAAAGGAGACAGAAAGGAGGTGAATGCGTTTGCTTTAATCTAAAAGAGAGATAGGATGTCATGTTACAACGGAAGGATAAATGATAATGCAACTCTGCAAGAACTGATGACTAGAAGAGTCGTGAAATTATAAGTGATAAAATCGTACAGAGAGAAAACAATCGGGATCAGAAAAACGCCAGAAAGAACTGTCTTTGTAGCAAAATATGATTGTAAATAAGAAAAAGTCGATAAGGTTCTCAAACGTCCGAAACTATGACACTGAATCAATACTGAGAAAAATGGTTCTGAACTCAACCTAACTTTCACGGATATTTTCATCTTGTTCGACAAAGAGGCGTATCAACCATTTATCTATGGGAGAAATTCTTACAAGATACGCTTTCTGAGACTTTGTAAAAAACAAAAAAAATACTACTAATAATATTATCATCATCAAGATCTTGTTTTTGTTTTCGTCAGAATACGAAGAACGATGGAATATTGACCAGACTTCGTGTCTCTCAATTTCCAGCGGATATCACAAGTTACTACTGTTATGAACACTGAATGAGTCAGTACTAGCACAAACACATATATATATATATACATATATAATTATCATATTTGGGTAGCAATTTTCATACATGTTTCACCGGACAAGGACTACTTTGTGCGTTTCTCTTCAGTTTTTATAGCGTTCTTACAATTTTCTCTTCTATGAGGACTTAGATTTTGTAGAAACTGTACGTAGCGATTATTGTCCCAAGCGCTTTCGACTAATCATTTTCAAGAGTGTATGTGGGAGAGGTTAATCTTCATTGTTAATATATTTTGTTTTTGTTTCTGATCCTATGTTGAGTGAGAATCGTCACATGAATTGAAAAAGAAAAATTCTTCCGCACCCATAAGAAAAATCAGGTTGTAAAAACCATCTTATTATAATTGTGTTTATTCTTCTCTTCATTAGTTCACAATACCTCATAAATAATGGACTATTCTACTTTTATCGCGTGGAAAGAAAGAATAAGACATTTCTTGGTTTGAATGAGAAAATGAATGGAAGGAAGAAAGAAGGAAAGAAGGAAGGAAGGAAAGAAGGAAAGAAGGAAAGAAAATAGAAATATTTGACGGCTGTTTCAGTGAAATGGAAAACGTTGTCAATTTCAATCTTTCCATTTGTACCCACTTCTTAAAATAACGATCATCATTCATGTTTATGATTGTTATTGCAATATTTTGTTAAAGTTGTTAACCTCAAATATTTGACCATACGATAGGGGAATTTTTACGGATAATTTATTGTCGTAGAATTCACCATGAGCTCACTCAATTATTAACTATTAACTTAAGAATTAAGTTTCATCAGAATATTAAAATAGGAGAACCGTGAATTTTTCACGGGTTAAAACTAATTAAAGATAATTGAAGCACTTCTAAAAAAAAAAGAAAAGAAAAAAAAAACTTATCTACACTTAACATTGTTTTCTTTGAAAGCAGCCAGGGCACCTTGGTTATGTTTTGATCACTAAAACAAAAACTCCAATATTAATGAAATCGTTATTACTCCCAAAACAACACAGTATAGGAAACAAACATAAAAATATGCTAAGAACGAAATACCTCTTCTCCGACACTCACTTGAAAAGGACAAGAGTATTAGTCGAAACGCTTGGGACGATAACCACTACGGAAATTGCTACACACTCTTACTCTTCATGAGAGAAAAATTAAAAGAATGTTAAAATAAAAACTTTAAAAAAAAAATGAAGAAAAATCTCACAAAATGTTCATTGTCCGCCGTGTATATATGTATATATATATATATATATATATATATATATATATATATAATTCGTCCTCCTAATGATGTGGATCATCTGTGTCTACTTGGGACTGCTGGAAGTGTACAACGCCCTGATAACTGACCTATCAGTGGCTGTAGAGTTCTGGGTTGAAACCAGAAGTAGAAGAGTTTATCCTAGCAGCTAAATGCCAAAGACTGCTAATAAGATCTTAGCCGTCATATAGTTCAAAGAAAGGAATAGATTCAAAATATCGTTTCTGTGTATACGCTGTTGATCATTTAATATCTGGTTGCTTTAACCTAGCATCAAGTAAATTTAAAAATGGGCACTATAGTGTCGGTTAATATTTTAATAGAAGATATGGCAACATTATAGCTTACCCCATATAGAGTAATGGTATGAACAGAAAACATCAGCAGTTCTAGAAGGCGATGGTATAACTTTGGGATTTCACCATACACACCGACCTCACTAAACAAGCTAATAGACCAGCTGTTTTCATAAAAGACTTCAATGTGCATAAATGCTATCTTATCAACATGATCAGAATGTCTGATAAAAAATATTTCAGCGAAAGAATATGATAAGCTCTGCAAATATAAGGATCTGGAAATAGAAATTACAAAAAGATGGCATTTAAACACAATTAATGTTCTTTTTTTACTTAGGAGCGCAAGCAATGATTAAGAAAATATGAATACACATATTAAGAAAATCCCAGAAATCCATATTTATGCGAAATGCAAAAGATTTCGCGTGACTACTGCTCACGTACTCACAAAACTCTTAATAAATTTCAAGAAAGCCCTTCATTTACCTTAGTTCTCATATTAAACACTTAAAACAAACCTTAAATAAAAGAAAATAATAATAATAATACTCGAATAGTCACGACAGAAAAAGAAACACTGATACACTTGGAATTTCTGTTAAAGTAATGTTATTTCAGAATGTATGCGATCATAGCTCACCACAGCTTCGTTTTTTGGCTTACACCCACATCACGTTGAAACACCAGCTCCTGTACGATCATCGAAGTTAAGCAACGTCGAGTCTGGTCAGTATCTAGATGGATGACCGCTTGGGAATACCCGCTGCTGTAAGCTTGGCTGTGCAGGTGGAGGAAAGGATAATAGCTCAGGATTGTTAATCGAAGTGTCGAGTTCCAATTTCCATTGGGTTTGTTATATTCACTTACGTGCAAATACCCTTGGGAAAGCTATGAATACATCTCTTCTCTCCCAGCTAAGGCTTAATTAGTAAGACTTGTATCCCTAAATTATTATTATCTAAAAAAATCGTATAAGGTAAAATATTTTTTAGCCTTACATAATCTTAAAAAGGCTAATAAGCCGTAAAAGATGAATCAATCAATAGTGTTCATTTACATAATATCCATGAATTGGCATAATTTATTCGGAATGTTAGTTGAGCGTTTTTTCTTTGACTTCTCCACAGTTTTGAATTCAGAGCAGTTCGTCTCTTAGACTAGCTACCACCCAATACTAGAGAGCTTAGTATACTCTATTATATTGTTGTGGATTCCGTGAATGGAATCGTGCACAAATAAACAACGACAGTAATTGAGATAGAAAAATAAGTGTATTAAACGTAATAATACAGACTTGAAGTGAAAATTAGTAGTCCAGGAATGCGGGTTAGTAGAAAGTGTATGTACAAATCTCTGTAAGTAAAGCCGTAATCATCTCTATCTGGACTCTTGTATAACTCTCTGAGAAAACCCTGTATCGGTCTCCGTATCTCTCAACCTGTCTCAACGTATCTTCACGTATCTCGGTATTTAACAGTCCACCTACGAGGAATGTATGTGGCACAAGGCCGAGTTTAACGTGGGTTTCTTCGAGCCCGTAGGCTCAGCCAAAAAATATCCACTTTGATATCGAGATCTGTCTACCTCCCCGGACGAAACCTTTGCTTTCGACAAAGCTTCGTCCGGGTTCCTTCCTAAAGTGCTATTTTAATATGTTTGACTTGATAAGTCGCACAGAATTCTTGAAAGTCGCTCGAGGTGAATTGGGTACCATTATCCGTTACAAGGCAATCTACAACGCCGAATCTTGCGAATAACTCGTATAGACAATCGTGTTTTCCGTCGTAGGGTTTTTGTATCTGAAAACTTCTGGCCACTTGCTAAAGCTATCTACCGTTATCAAGTAGTAATATCAATCTATGGGTCCTCCATAGTCCGCATGGATACTAGACAAAGGTCTGTCCACCTTAGGCCATGGTTTTTGTATAATAGGTGGTGCCTTTGCTGCCGCAGCACAGCCTCTACATTTTTCTACCATTTGAGTAATGTCGTTATCCATATTAGGCCAATACACGAAACTTCTCATTAACGCTTTCATACGATTTTTCCCTGGGTGTCCTAGAGGAAAGTCCTTCAGAATTCGTCTTTGTAAAGATTTGCGTATGACCACTCTTTCATTATAAAGGAATACGTGATTACAAATTGAAAAACACTCCGTTAGATTTCTTTCTTTTTCTTCTATTTTTCTCTTTGTATGAATTCATCCATTTCAGCTTCTCTTCTAATTTGTAACAAGTTCACTGGTAATTCCCTTACTGTATTGTTTAGCACTTTATTAATTTCGTCTTCGGCTCGCAAAGCCGCTATTACCGAGTATCCAGAGGTTCGCATTTCGCAGGTACCAATCTAGATAATCCATCCGCATGACCAATTTTCTTCGACGGTAGGAAATCTAGTTTGAAATTATAATTCAATAACATAGTTCCCCATCTCAGAAGTCTGCTGGCTGTGTAAATTGGTAGTCCTTTTTTCGATACCGAATATAGTGAGAAGAGGTTTATGGTCAGTTTGAAGAGTAAACTCTCTTCCATATATGTATCTGTGGAAGCGAGTTATGGCGAATATTATGCCTAACGCTTCTTTCTCAATTTGCGAATAATTCCTCTCTGCTGGTAACAACGATCTAGATGCGTCAGCTATAGGTTTCCTTGTGCCATCCTGCATCTTGTGTATACATCTTGCATATACAAGCTCACACGGTGTGGGAGCTTGCGTCACTAGCAATGATAATTTCCAGTTTGGGATCAAAATGCGTCAGTGCTAGGTCAGACGTTAATTTCTTTATGATCGCCTTAAAAGCTTTCTGACAATCTTCCGTCCAGTTCCATTTGTTATCTTTTTTCAATAATTCATTGAAAGGAGCCCTCAATTTGTGCATGTTTTCAATGAATTTACCGTAATAGTTCGCTAGACCAAGAAAGCTTTGCAACTCTGCGACATTTTTCGGCTCAGGCATATTTTTTATTGCAGATGCCCTCTCTGGATCTGGTTTTCTGCCACTTTCATTGATTATATGGCCTAGATACTTGATTTCTTTTAGAAAAAAAATCGCATTTTTTCTCCTTCACTTTAAACTCAAAATCCTGAATTCTTTTAAAGACTTCTTTAATATGCGTTGCGTGTTCTTCTACATTATCGCTTTTAATTAAAATGTCGTCTAAGTAAGCAGCAGCAAAGTTCTATCCCATGAGCATGGTATCCATAGTCTGTTGAAAGATTGACGGTGCTACTTTTATCCCAAATGGCAATCTGTTCAATTTGTAAAGTCCTTTGTGAGTATTGATACATAAAATTTTTGTACTTTCTTCTACTGGAATCTGAAGATAAGCTTCGCTTAAATCAATCTTAGAAAATACCTTACCACCGTTAAGTTTGGTAAATATTTCTTCCGGGCTTGGCAATGGGTAGTGGTAATCCTTGATAGCCTTATTTAAACCAGTCGAGAAATCTGCGCAAACATGTGTTTTTCCGGATTTTTTCTTCACGTAGACCACTGGAGCCGCCCATTCACTGAATTCGATTTTTGAAAGGATTCCAGTTTGTACCAATCTATCTAACTGCTTGTCAATTTTTTCTATGGTTGCAAAAAGCACGTTTCGCTTTTTCTTGAATACTGGCTGAACATTTTCCTTTAGTTCAATTTTAGCTGTAAACTTATTACATCGTCCCAAACCGCTCGAGAATACTTCGAGAAATTGCCTGTGTAGTTCTTCTTTTAATTTTGTAGCTCCTGACGGTTCGCACTCTTTTCTTACAAAATGAGCTAATGGGTAAATCCCATACGTCAAATCTTTGCATCCAGTCCGTGCCCACCAAATTTTCTGTGTCTTTCATTACAAATATCTTCAATTTTTTCGTTTTATCATGGAATTTTACGTTTAGAATTACTTCTTCAAAATTGATACGCCTCCCTATAACAGACTTGGCGATTTCCTGTGTATGCATCATGGTCGATCTATTTAGCTTCCTCCATGTCTGTAAATTAATTATAGTTAGATCCAATCCTGAGTTTAACTGTAATTTTACCTTATTTAAAATCTCGAGTTCCACGTATTTGCTTGTGTTTAGTTTGTCTTCGTAGTCCATTCTAGTAGTTCTTACCCTACTAGTGTGTTTTGTTTCTGCATTGAGATGCCTTATGTCCCATTTTTTCACAAGCTAAACAGTTTGTCTTTATTCCAGTTGAATCCGCCACATCTGTAACATGCAGAGGGTGGGGGGCTTATATTTGCTTTGATCTGTCATTAATCGCCTTATAATTTTCTTTATAAAATTTTTGTTTTTCTTTCGGTGGGGGGGGGAGTGAAAAACGTAACTTTTTGTTCAACTTACGTATGTGTGCTACTCCCGATTCCTAGATATCCTTAGAGTATTTTTTTATACTCAAGCATTTTTGGCAGTCTTCTGACAATTTTTGTAGCGTTAATCTAGGCTCGTTTTGAAGTTTCGTAAGCATTCTTTTTCGCATTTCACTGTCCTTGGCTGTGACTAATCCCTGTACGAAAATGAGACACTTAAAATTGTCCGGAGTCAATTCTGCCAATTTAAAGTCATCGCAATGTTTGTTCACAATTGCGACGAACGTGGAGTAGTCCTCATTTTCGCTTTTTACGAGGTTGAGATATTCCCACCTTTTGTGAAAAAGTGAAGTCTTTGGACTGAAGAGCTCCGTAAGGCATGTAACTGCCTCGTCAAACGTCAAATCGTTTGTCTTTTTCGGTAGAATATAGTCCACAAATTTTGTGTACTCCTCTGTTGCCAATTTCCTGAGTAATAAACGTAGCTTCTTAGCTTCCGTCCAATTTTGGCAACCAATGTTGAAAATGTCTTCACGATGTCTGTAATAGTCCCTGAAATTTTTATCATCTTCTAGAGAGTATTTAAATGTTTCTATTGTGTTCCAAACTGCGTCTTGAGAAAAAGTCGCTTCTTTTTTGATATTCTTCTGTTGTGCGTTAACCGTTACTTTTAATATTAATTCCTGGAGTTGCATTTGCCTTTCTTCATTTATCAGCTGTCTTTCCTTACTTCTTCTTATAAACTCAAGCATTGCTTTTTGAAAATCTTCCATTTTTTAGGTAGTGACGAAATTTTTTTTCTTTCGCTTGTGTACGTTCTTTTATGTTCGTCGTTAATTTGGTGTTCTCTGTGTGAGTTCCTTCGAGTCTTGTCGCCAAGTTGTTGTGGTCGACGTGACTCTCGAATTTCCGTCACCAAGTTATTGTGTTGGCGAGCGAAAAAAAAATTTTTTCCGTACGTGTCCGTACTCTTCGTCGTCAAGTTGTTGTGTTGACGAGAGAGAATTTTTTTTTCTTATGGGTTCGAAGTTTTCGTCGCCAAGTTATTGTGGACGCTGGCAACGGCAAATTTTATTTTTTAATTTTTTTTTTAAGTCCCCGTGAAGTGCGAAATCCTCGTCGCCAAGTTGTTGTGGATTCCGTGAATGGAAACGTGCACAAATAAATAAACAACGCTAGTAATTGAGATAGAAAAATAAGTGTATTAAATGTAAGAATACAGACTTGAAGTGAAAATTAGTAGTCCAGGAATGCGGGTTAGTAGAAAGTGTATGTACAAATCTCTGTAAGTAAAGCCGTAATCATCTCTCTCTCTCTGGACTCTTGTATAACTTTCTGAGAACACCCTGTGTCGGTCTCCGTATCTCTCAACCTGTCTCAGCGTATCTCAACAGCAGGTATTCTCTCTGTCAGTATAAGTATACTTTGGACGAGTCCATCTTATGTAAAAAGGGGAGATCCCCACAACATATATA